ACCCATACTCCTGTACATTGTTACTGCACGGCGGTGTACACTGCGGATTCAAATCATAAGAGCAAAGGTGCGCAAGCCAGTTCAATTATGTGATGGATGTTGGAAACCCATGCCTCCTGCACATTGTTTCTTTGCGCACTCCGCATTTCATCATTAAAGCAAAGCCGGTTCCTATGCAAGCCAGTTCCAGAACATCACGAAATGGCTGAGGGGAGGTGAAAGCCTATACCTGCTGCATGTTTATTCAAGATGCATGTACTAAAACCTTGCATGGGCCCTGCAAATCATTGAAGGATTAATCTTGAAAGCAATAGCACCCAAGCCCACTGAAAATGCTCGATTTATAAGGTGTTCCACGAGATTGATTTATACAGCTGTTTAACCTGTGTTGGTTGCTAATGAGAAGGTCATCGTCAACCCCTACGACGAAAAGGTCAAAGAAGATGCCATTTCCGAGGAAAGAGCCAAAGAGGTTGCGGATCTCAACAAGATCATCGAGATCACTTCCACTGAGGCCAAGCCATCGGGAACGACGGCCAGTGACATTGTTTACGCTGCCGCCAAAGAGGCATCTGCCAAGGCCGATGAAGGGGAGGACAAGATGAAGTCATCCAGAATCTCAACATGGAGTGTGATTGATGATGGCGATGACTCCAAGCCTGATGACATGACATCTTCCAGAATTTCGACATGGACTAAGGTTGGTGACAATGAGGCGACCCCAATGGACATTGATGCTGGGAAGAAGGATGACGATGCCGCCCGGGAGGGTGTGCCGACCACTGCTGCTGCCCCTGGAGCTTCCGCTTCCGCTTCTTCTGGAACGCCTGCTGATGACAAGACTGAGATTGTCGACCTGACCAAGACCGTGAAGAAGGTGGAGGTTGACAAGCCAGTTGGAAAGCCGGCCGAGAAGAAGTTGCCGAAGAGCGAAAAACAGAAAGCGCCGGAGTCTAAGGCAATGCCGAGGCAGAAGGCGCCCCGACTCAGCGTTGAAGCTGATGCAGCCCTTCGGAAGCTTGAAGAAGCCACGGAGCGACAAGAGGGGGCGGTGTGGTTGGACCCCGAGGACATGACCGGCCGGATCCCCAAAGAGTACTGCGGCCAGGGGCGACTGAGATTTCTTTCCACAAAGATGTCTTATGTATTGAGAGGCCACGCACTCAGTTATGGCGCTCGCAGTCCGGACATCGATCCTATGGACATGTTCATGCATGGACTTCGAAGCTGTCATGAAGACGATGGCCCACTACGTCTCCTACCCGAAGGTCCGAGAGGTTTTGTCCATTGTGCGCAACAGTGATTCCAGACGTTTTCAGGTGAAAGTGGCTCAGCCAGATTTGCCTGATGCAACCTGGAAGGGTTTGCCGTGGAAGGTCGTTTCGATCAGAGCTGTCCAAGGTCACAATCGTGCCGTCGTCGAGAACGCCAAGATCTCTTCGTTGGTGAAGCAAGTCTTCACTTTGGATCCGCTCTTTGTCAAAGAGGACCTCGACACTGGCAAGTTGCCAAGGACAAACTTGCGGCCAGACCTGGTGCCCGAGCTGATGGCTGCTCTGCCAAGGGTGATTTATCACAGTTGCGATCGCCTGGCTATGGAGAAAATTGTTGAACACGGTTTGATCCCAGGTGGCTGGCCTCAAAGGACTGGAAGGGCTCACAATTTCTTTATCGCGTCCCATCCATGGGATGATTCAGTCGGGGGGAAAAAGCTTGCGGGAACGCGAGCCGGAAAGCAATACTACATTGCCTTTGACGCCGAGCTCATCGTTCAAAGCGGCTGTCGATTGTTCCGAACTGATGAAGCAATCATCAGTCCCGACTAGATTTCGAATGAGAACATCATTTGCACTTATGATGCTGTGAACAGAGAGTTCGCCTGGGTCAATCGGCCCTACGAGATCACTCGAGTGGGCTACAACAAGCAGATGAAGGACCACAAGGACAAGGACACTCCGAAGAGAGAAGCCCTCACGAAAAGCGCATATGCCAACGCACAGTCCCATTTGAAGTCATACCTCATGAGCGGCAAGTCCATCCATCCAGGTGAAATGCAGATGACCACAACGCCTGAAGATCTCCCACCTCTTCTTCGTCGACGAGAAGGACCATCGGGACCCTTTGAGGACAGAGTGATGTTGAAGATGGCCTCCTTTGGTGCCCTGTCGAATGCTGAGACGATCCGCAAAGGCAAAGGGCGCGGAAAAGGCAGGGGAAAGGGAAGCCGTCCGGGAGGACAGGCCTATCGTTCAACCAATGCAGAAGATTACATTTACAGCACGAAAATCCAAATGCAACAAGTCAAGTGCCACTTCTGCAATGAGACGAACATTGAAGGCACGCACAAATGCCAGTCGTGCTTTAAGTGGTTGATCGCATGGTCGGATGGGAGGATTGCGACAGAGGTATGCCGGATGGAAATCTCGGCCAAGAAAACAAACAAAGTGTTTTCCCTGGACAAGGTCGACTTTGAGAAGCAGCCTCGGGCTCAGAGGGTATCGGACCGCACAAGAGCAGACCAACGTCGAGCTGGACGAAGTAATTTCGGAAATCTCAAGGACGCTGCTCAGACCCATGCGGGAAGATACGGAAAGCTGGGGTTCAAGTCGATCCAGGACCGCATGGAGAAGGATCCATTTTACCTTTTTAACAATGCGGTTGGCCAGATCACCCCGGACTGTTGCCATTTTTTGGAGGACTTGGCAAAAATGCATTGCCCCTGACTTCGGCCGTACCCGAGAGAAGCGTGAAAAGCAACTGGGAACAGGTGTCAGCACTCGCTTGATTTTCATGCCAGACTTCAACAGAGATATCCGGCTTCCACTGGATGTCACAAAAGAAGCAATGGTGGCTCATCATGCCCGAGTTTTCACACTCCCCCAATTTGCTGTTCTTGCCGCGGACTTGCTGAAAGCGAGGGGGGAACCCACGCCGACATTGTATGGTTGGGCAGGCTCGATGATGCCTGTTGATCAGACTACTGCTCAGGACTGCTTTTTCGACTTGGTCGACTTTGCGAAACGTCAATGGACAGAGCAGTATAACAATGTCAAGGGCGAGGAGCACTCCCTAGTGGAGGAGGCCACGGCGTCAGACGTGGCAGATTTCCCATTGGCAAGAACTTCGAAGACGGGTACTGGAGAAGGTCGAGAGGGCTACAAGCGCCACTTTGACCCAATTCAGAGGCAAGCCAAGGGCAAAGGACACGGACATCAACGCCCAATCTTTCAGCAGGCCATTGAATGCTGGAAGTGCGGTCAGTATGGCCACAAATCCTTCGAGTGTCGCAGTGGATGGAGCCGACGGCAACAATGGGATTCGTATGGATCTTATTCAAGCCGCTCGGGAGGGCAGGCCCAATGGCAGAGCTGGAATTGGAGACAGGGCTACTCTGGCAAAGGTTGGACGGCTGATGACTGGGGACGATCTACGGCATCAAGTTCCTCGGCAGCGCCTCCGGAGCCAGTGCGCCCACCATCAACGGCAACGCCTGTGCCTGATTCAGCCCCCACTGCTGATGCTTCTGCTCAGGCAGCCACTGGATCAGCTCCGACCACAGAGCAACCTCAGCAGGTGCCGCGAATGCCGCTTGTGATTGCAGAGGAGTACTGTGAGATCAATGGCCAGCCGCACTTCAAGCGCACCTACAATGATGGGACGGTAGAGTATGAGTCGTGGTAGGTGTTTCACCTCATGTGCCATGCTTTTATGCCTGCCGGAAGGCTTGGCCGATTGGATGAAACTTGACCTATGGTCATTCAGTTCAATCGAATTGCACACATTTCTCAAAATGAAATTTCAACTTGAAAACTTTCCCAATTGATTCAAAAGAGTTTGACACCAGCATCCGATCCTTTGCGGTAGTTGCACGTGTACAGATGCCGTGTAGGTTAGCCTGATATAGTAGTTTCCGAACCAAAGGCAGTCGAAAGGAATGGTAATGTTCCTATGCCTTGGCGGAAGCCAGGCCAACTTTACTTTTGTGTCTCTTCAAGCACGTGCCCTGCCACGGATTGAAAAGTTAATGCATCCGACTTTCTCTCATTTTTGCCTCATGCATCCGAGCTATGACCTTTTTCAGCACACGTAATTAAGTAACATTGTGTACAGTGATGTCTTGTATGCTTGTCCGCTCTCAGGTCACTTCCGGCGGACTACATCTTCCGTCCTCCGCGCAACTGCGGGCGGCGGGGGGTGTTTATTGTACATATTGTTCACTGTACATACTAATAATGCTTACTTACCGTGTTGCTATGGCTCAAGAAACAAGAGCGCTATTGCTGTTACTTTGAGGTTGTTTAACCTGTCAAACAATCCGGTACCCATCCCAATCCTTATTCTATATCTATCTATTATATATATATATATATTTGAATGGAGTTGTTCTTTTTTGCTTCTGTTGTTTGGGTTGCTCTATCTACATACAACATACATCATATATATATATATGTGATCATATGTGTATAATGCCGTATTACTACTGTGAGTAGTAGGGGAACCAAGTTATTTAAGGTTGGTGAATTCTCAATACTCTAACCAGAGTGCTATATTAACCCCTATTTCAAGTTTAACCCTCTTAAACTTCCAGTTTTGACGGTTCACACTGTGGTATATATATATATATCAACTCTATGACCTAGGAATGAGCCTCTAGTAAATGAACATAGACCTGGGTAAATTATAACGACCTCACTCTGACCGAACCCTGGAATCATGGTTAGGATTCGGGGAATCATCCCCAGATGGCCTTGTTTCAGGTCAGTGATTTTTTATAATTTGCCCAGATGTATATGGAAAATTATTTTCCAAACCCATGGATTTTCTGCGTTTAGACATCATCATATAATATATGAAAAGTGTTCCAATTGTGTTTAGACATCATCATATTATAACATATTATAACACTATAACCTATGAACCTCTAATGAATTAACATGTCCCATCATTTTCCTATTGAAAACCATGGGATTTGCCATGTTACAACACGAACCGAACACTAGGTGGGTTACTACGGTGTGGTGCAGAACCACGCCATGGCCAAAGCCAACGCCGTGGCGGTGGAGGTGCTGGGGAGCATCCGGACCGTACAGTCCAACGTTGGGGAGAAACAGGAGGCCCAGTTCTTTATGGAACGACTGAACCGAGTCCTGGTCCAAATATGAGATGTGGTGTTTTTTTTGTTGAAAAAAAACTGTTTTTAAAGATCTTGAGGATTTGAATTCGGAGATTTCGTGATCTATAAATTGTATCATAAAAGATTAATATAGATGTGTAATCAATATGTAATATATAACAATATATATATATATCATACATATGATACATGCATATATCTATGGACTATATGGATTTGAACTGTACTTGTATGTTATAACGGGGCTCAACAGATTCATGGGCCGAATGCAAAACACATTTTAAAGGGAACCAAACAAGGCCCGTGTTTTCTTTAAATACATGGTTCCTGACATTTTGGTAAGACATAAATCATATAAATCCAACCTATATTCTGGATTACATATCTGAAATCCAATGGTTATATATATATATTCTTTTAAAAAAACCTCTACAAACATCTTTTGGTGATATTGACTACTATTCAACGACCTTACTCAGGGATGTTTGACCCACCCAACTGGGGAAATGAAACAGGCCTCAAGTGTCTAAACGACACCTTTCTCAGGCCTTGAATCATCGTTCATCTTGAATTGATTGGTACCTGCTACGATTTTGCTGCTGTTGATATGGGGACATGCAAGAAGTCCTGTACCAAACTGCACTTGGGTATTTTCCATGTATGAGAAGAAGAACATAAATATGTAAGAAAACTTCGACTGCTGATGAACCCTACAACTTTCTTGGGGAGATGTTGGGGTAGTAGCTCCAGTTGCTACCCATGAGTTTCAGCCTGTCATTCAGCCCGTCATTGTGAAGAAGAGAGGTTCTCAGGTTCTCCTAGGATCTCTAAGGTGTGGTGAGAAGAAGCTGGTGCCAACCTCGCGAATTCACATCATATATATATATACGTATATATTATATATATACAGTACATATATTTGTTTATCTTGGAGGTTGAAACGGTTGCACCCCTTAATAATGAAAGTTGGCGGAAAGGAAAAATGCCAGCAACAAAATACTTTGGTCAGTCATTAATTATATAATTAATCCCCATTTTCTACTTTGGTTCCCTACACCCTAATTTTGCAGCTTCATGGCCAATGTTTTGGGGATGCCTTTTTTTTGCGGGTTCCTGGCTGCGTTCATTTGCGCGGGGTGCGACCACCGGCGAAGTCTAAGGATATTTGCGGATCATCAAAGCGACCGTCTCTCGCTGCAGGAAAACAGCATGGTGAAGACCAGGCAAACAGCGTTGCTTTTATATAATCATCAAAGGAGGCTTTTGAAAGAGAGGGTGACAAACAAAAACCTGAGTTTTTAAGCACTGTTATATATAGTAATTGGTTGTTGCTGGAACCATAAATGAGGTGTTCCCCGAAAAAAGCCAAGGTCACCTCATTCCGGCATTCTGGATGGTTCAACTATGTCATACGAATGATTTTCCTCCTTATTTCTGAATATGATTATAAGATATTATAAGATTATTGCGGATTGTGATCCCTCGAATCAGGGGAAAACATGATGTTTTCCGAAGCAGAATTCCAAGTTTCAAGTCTTTAAGATCTATTTGGGGATTTTCTATGTTTTGCATATGCGTAAATCATACCCCCAAACAGATCCTTAAATAATGGCGCAGATTTGGAGATGGATTGTCAAGCAAACCATGATGGGTCTCAACTTTGGGGTTTCAAAAATTATTCCAACCACCCATGGTTCTACGATTGGTGAATAAGAACAGCCATTCAGGGTCACGATGACCATGAACATGATACTTGGATGTGCGGGCCCGACGAATGTTTCATCTGTGGTTTCAAATCCATAACCCATACATTTTGTATACTCCAGTGGTAAACTAACATTTTGCTATGGAAAATCACCATGTTTAATGGGTAAATCAACATCAAAAATGGGCCATGGCTTCAATAGCTATATGGTGGTTAATAATGGTGGTTTCCTATGGTTGATAATGGTTGTTAATGATAATCAATATTTATTTGTGATGAAAATGGAGATTTACCATCTGGTTATTTAACATGCTAATCTACTATTATTGATTATCATTATTAACCATTATTAATCAGACCATGGAATAACCAGACCATCAATACTATCAATATTATCATTATTTGGTTAATTACTTGATAACCACTGGTTAACTGGTTGGTGGTTTCAAACATTTTTTATTTTCCATTTCATATATGGGATGTCATCCCAACCAGACAGTATATATATAATTATATATATATAATCCCCATTTTCTATGGATATGCCCATAGACTCTATGGATAATTCCCACTAATGGTTAATATTTCCATATCAAATTGGTCATCTACGCGGCAATGACCCATCCCACGGGCGCCTTTTTAAAATTCAGGTCTACTTGGAGACAGTCCTGCGCTTCACCCAGTCCCTTGGAGCGTTCTGCGGAAGAAGGGCCCTAGAAGAATGGGATTCTAGGTGTTTTAACCATGAAAAATGGTGTTTTAACCGCAGAGAAAACGGTTGAAAGTTGTAAGCCCCAAAAAATATTCATGCCGAACAGTGGTTCCAGGATGGTATAGATGATGTTTTCCCTAGATTTTTTCCAGGTTTCCAACTTTTCTACCTTTTCGATCCTTTTCGATCCTTTTCGGGGGGTGCATTTCCCCAAAGTCTGGAGATCCGTGGGGCCCCTAAAATAGCAGAAAACATAGCCACATGCGGAGGAAAATCATCCTTCAGCCCCTTTGAAGATTCCATTTCCAATTCGAAGAGGGTAGCTCAGCAAGTCGTATCGTTTTGTGCAATTGACCCCAACACCAACAATTGACAAAAGATGACAAGAGTAGGCTCAAAAAGCACCAAAGACGTGCAAACCAAACCAACGCGCCCAGTTTCCTGCATATTCGGAATCGGCCTAGTTACCAGCCTCACAGGTAACCAGACTTTGGAACCGGAACCAGGCACCATGGTCCAAGATGAATTTGGATAGATTTGTGAATGCTTCATAATACAGGTCCTGAACGCTTCGAGATCAACCTTTCCACAGAAAGTTATGATGCGGAACCGTTGGGGAACCGTGATGCGGCACATGACAGTTGAGAAAGCCTGTTTTGGACTACAAGAAGGTGGTGGATTTCCACAACCCTGCAAACAGCTTGCATATACTCGTACTGTAAATCTAGAGAGACTGGCAGCAAGCTGTTTGCTTGCAAGATCCACATCAAACAGCGGTGCACAGTTACTTGTAGTGACAGTACATATGTATATAACAGTCATGCTTTGTGTTTCAGCTTGACAACTGGTCCAATCAGGAGAGTTGGCAGGTTCTGAGCTCAAGATATCTCAAGATCCTATCATAGACCCGACTTGCATCACTCCCGATGGGCGACTTTCGCGTTCTTCACGTTTTGGGCTTGGACTTTCCCTCGCAAAGGCTGCTGGACAGAGTCAGCGAAGATGCCTTAGACGCACCAGTACCAATCTTCGTTCCCCAGTGGAACCGCCCAGCCGGTCCCGCTGTGGATGGAGGCAACGGTGCCGGACAAGACGACGATGTCGTCGAGGTGAATGTCGGCGAGGCCAATGTCGGCGAGGCCAATGTGGGGATGGCCGGAGACCTTCAGCATCTTCAGCCCCCCGCCGTGGCCCCCGACCTGGCCCCCGACCCAGCTCGCGACGCCGTGGCACCGTTGCTTCCCGCAGAAGGATGCCGTGTCCAGGGCACAAGACCAGATGATCCCCCAGCTCTGCAGCGAGATTTTCTCGGTGCAGATGCGAGCCAGTCAGCCAAGGAGGGCAAGGAAGGCAAGGATTCTGGAGCAAGTGGGCAACCATGAGTGATGACGAACGCTTGTGTTTTCGATCAGGAAAGATTGCCTCATGGTGTCAACACCTGAGGATTTCCATGGATTTCCTATGAGTGTTTGATTGTTCCCAAGAATATATGAAAACTTAATTCAAGATTAAGAAAATGAGCAATCATGAAAAAAACAAAGGTTGCTTCCGATGGCTCTTTCCGGCCAGTGTTTGAATTCTTGAAGTACAATTGCACATGGATTGAAAATGAAGAAGAGAACGATCAGTTTTATCAGGTATGCCAGTTTTGTGTTCATGTACTGACCCTGATAACATGAGTTCGCGCTTTCATTCGAGTTGTTTGTTTCCCTTTGTTTTTTTGAGAGCCTCAAATCGGAGCTTCCTGACTGGGCGGATTGCGAGCCGCCATAGTCACTAATTAGTGGTACCATAGTCGAGCCCTACTTCTAGGCTCATATTTCTCATATACTTTCCGGTAATCAAACATAGCACTGGGGATTCCCCTATGAAAGGAGCTTAGTTCATGGGAACATGAACTGTAAATGCTGGGTTTTCCAGCTTGCCATGTTTGATTACCGGTTCCGGTAAACGCATCCCCCTTTTGTCCTCACAACAGAGAAACCTTGGTTGATCCGATCGTTGAATGTGTTGAATCTGTTCATGAATTCACCGCCTTTTAATATGGAGGTTGTTGTGAGAGGGGCGGGCAAGTACATAAGCTATTTGGAGTTGTCTCAAAATTGGGAACCAAAAACTCTTTCCCATGGTTTGAAACATCAATATTTGCTGGCCATATATTGGGGGTACATTTAACATTATTAGATCTTGAAATGTGAAACAGATGATGGCCATTGACGATATATGTATATATATATGCATATTTGGAGAGATTGATTGATGAACCGTATGTCCAAAACTTTGAGACAAACTGATCTGCCCGGATTTATGGGATGCGTGTTCACAAGCTGCAGCCAGAGAGGCAGCTCTGGAGATGCCAGTGGCCTGATGAAAAATTGGAGCAGCTGAGAAAAAACGATGGGTACCTTCCACCAGGCAACATGGATATGGAACATGGCATTTCAGAGATGACTGTCCTCTGAATTCTTGCGACTTTCCATGTTTTTGGATGGTAGGGTAGGGTCTATCACCAGGCAAAGAAAAATATGTGTTTTTGTGAACAAACGTGGAAACTGGAGCCGCCAGAATGGGCAGTTGGGTGATTGATCCATGAGGTAGGACATTGACATTGACAACATTGAATAGTGATTATAACGATTAGTGACTATAATTAACATTAATTAACAACAATAGTGATTACAACAACTATGTAATAGTGATATATATATATATATATATAAATATATGGTGCAGCGTTGGCCACCCCCCCTCCCCCCCCCCACCAATGGGTATGGGTGGACAGTATCGTCTGGTCCCCCCTCCCACCACCACTGTGGTGGTGTGGTTTGGTATGGTCTCCTGGTCCCTGTGCCCCCCCCTGTGGTGCTGGTGTGGGTATAGTTGAGGGCCCCCCCCCCCCTGTGGCCTGTGGTGGTATGTATGCTGGTATGTATGTATGTATGTATGTATGTATGTATGTAATGTATGTATGTATGGAATGTAAGGTAAGGTAATGTAAGGTAAGGTAAGGTAATGTAAGGTAAGGTAATGTAATGGTATGTATGTATGTATGTATGTATGGAATGTAAGGTAAGGTAAGGTAATGTAAGGTAAGGTAAGGTAATGTAAGGTAAGGTAATGTAATGGGTATGTATGTAGTAATGGTAATCTAATGGTATGTATGTATGTATAAATGTAAGGTAAGGTAATGTAAGGTAAGGTAATGTAAGGTAAGGTAATGTAAGGTAAGGTAAGGTAATGTAAGGTAAGGTAATGTAATGGTATCTATGTATGTATGTATGTATGTACGTAGGTATGTAGGTAGGTAGGTAGGTATGTAGGTATGTATGTATGTTGGTATGTTGGTATGTTGGTATGTTGGTATGTTGGTATGTTGGTATGTATGTTGGTATGTATGCTGGTATGTAGGTATGTATGTATGTTGGTATGTTGGTATGTTGGTATGTTGGTATGTTGGTATGTATGTTGGTATGTATGTTGGTATGTATGCTGGTATGTATGTATGTATGTATGTATGTATGTAATGTATGTATGTATGTATGTATGTATGTATGTATGTATGTATGTATGTATGTATGTATGTATGTATGTATGTATGTATGTATGTATGTATGTATGTATGTATGTTATGTATGTATGTATGTATGTTATGTATGTATGTTATGTATGTATGTTATGTATGTATGTAGTTATGTATGTATGTAGTTATGTATGTATGTATGTATGTATGTATGTATGTATGTATGTATGTATGTATGTATGTATGTATGTATGTATGTATGTATGTATGGAATGTAAGGTAAGGTAATGTAAGGTAAGGTAAGGTAATGTAAGGTAAGGTAATGTAATGGTATGTATGTATGTATGTACGTAGGTATGTAGGTAGGTAGGTAGGTATGTAGGTATGTATGTATGTATATACCCCCCCCCAGGGGCATCATACCCCCCCCCCATCCCTCTGGGGGGGGGGTGGGAACACGGGACACGGGACCATATATATATATATATTGATGATAATAATAACAAACAATAGTGATTTTAACGACATTATATAATAGTTGATCATCACAATTCAATAGTGATGAAATATCAGCCATCTACAGCAATACAAAAGCGTGGGAAGCAGCTTTCGGTTTTCGTCACATCACATTTTCTCAGTGGAGATGGGCCGGCTGCGCCTCTCACAGACGTGGCTGTTGGACGGCCATGGGCAACTGGGACTTCCTCCAAGCTTGGTGGAATCAGGTGATCAACAAATTCCCACTGGAGGTTTACATGCTGTGGGTGGAATCCCAATACCATAAACCGAGAAAAATACAGGATGGTGCCCCCCAGTGATGTTAGTGGGTTTATAAACCCCATTAACTATAGTTATATCTGCCATAAACCATAGTTATGGGACTTATAAACCAACTTAGCTAACTATGGGGCACCACCTTGTATATATATATAAAAACCTATAATTTGAGGATGATGGTTCCTACCCATCTATGATATGATGATATTGATGTACCATCAGACCGACATGACCGACAGGCCTACATTGGGACATCCCAGTATCAATGACAACATCCGCCTAAGCAAAGAACTTGTACAATTCAGGAGTCATATATATATATAACTATACATATATATATACATATAACTATACATATATATATATAACTATACACATATATATATATGATTATATATATAAAGACACATAATTACATATATTACATAATTATAGATATAATTATATGTATATATATATATATATGTATATGTATGTTATTATACAAAATTTGTGGGTTAGACAATTCGTAGAGTCAGTGGACCAACGGCGGTGACCACCGGGGACCAGCCACGACTTGGCCATGTGCATTAACCCATAGGATCCATGGTGCTGGTATATATGCTAATATATTGATGTTATATGGATGGTAAATGTTAGCATATATACCATACATGGATCCTATGGGTAATGAAATCATTTACAATATATATATAGACTATACAGATATCAATATACATATATAATGACATATATGATGAATACAATATATAATTATTCTGCTACTACTTGTCAGCACCGGATCATTGAAAAGCTCGGAGAGCACGGTTGCCCGTGCGCTGGCGTCACACTTCGAAAAACAGCGCGGCCAGTTCGCGCAGCGGTAGCATTTGGATTGGAATTTGGAATGACTTGGAATGAGATTTTTGAAGAATTCACTGACCGAAAAACCATGGCATCATTTGGCCAAATATCTGTATTTCCACATGTGTTCTATAGTACTATAGATCTAATGACCGCTGCAAAACCGACAGGAACCGCCACAGGAAACACCAGAGGGACCGCCACAGCAACGAGCTCCGTGGTGACATGAAGTCTGAAGGCCCTTCCCCACGCAATGTCTGGTGGGTGTCGTGTTCTTGTGCCTGTGGTTGCAACAGCCCTGGTTCGGAGAACTGATTGTGCTGCGCTGCTGCGAGGTGAAAACTTGGGGTATTCGGCTGCGCCGTGGGATATGGAACCTTATCAGCAGCCCTCTAGAAATGTAAGTGGTAGAGAACAGTACATGGTACCTTCAAAAACATATATCCAAGAGCTGCTGGAGGTTTCCCAAATCCAAAATTAGACCATTTTAGTATTGAATAACCCATGGTGACTTGGGGATCCCCATTTTAAGAAACCCCCATGTGGTTCCGAGTGGTTTCCAAGAACCCCACCCCACTTTTTCCACCCCACTGAGTTGTATTGGTGAAGATCTACTACTCTACTTTGTGTTTAATTATCAACATATTGTTTTAACCATCACAAATGGTGCTTTAACCATCGCAAATTGTGTTTTAACCATCACCAATTTTGTTTCAATCATCACAAATGGTGTTTTAACCCTCACAAATGGTGTTTTAATCATCACAAGTTGTGTTTAGTTTTAACCATCAAACATGGTGTCTTAACCATAGAAAATGGTAAATTCACAATCAAAAATGGTGATTAAACTCACCATCATTTTGATGGATTTTTTTTTCGCATTACAATTGGATACAACTGAGGTTTTAAACAACCAAACATGTGTGTAGAAACGCTCATTTGGGTTTGTCTGAAAATGGGGTCAACACGGTCAACCGCCAAATTGATGTTCTATTTGAACAGTGATGTTCGGACCCACTAAACCCAAATGGATTTTGGGGTAGCAATGTTGAGATAAACCCAACTGGTGGCTTCAAACAACCTTATTCTCGCATTATACAGAGGAGATCCAACAATAGCTTTATAGCCATCGAAGAAGCCTACATGCAGATGATTATATAATTCATAGAGTATGTATCCATATATAGTTTATCTTCGTTCTGCGTGGATATCATATGTATATATATATATATGTATTTATATATCACATATATATATTATAATATATTATTATTACCATAACATATATATATATACATTATATATAATATATATATATTATATACTATATATATATATTATATGATAACTGATATCCATTTAGTCCCGAGAATGGGTTGTGACCCGAAAAATGTTTACCATGTCCAAAATCCCACCAAGGTTGATGAAGAGAAGATTCACCGTTCAGCGTTCAACAACCACGTTTGGTACCCTCTGGTAAACATACAAAAAAAGCTATTGAAAATGGCCATAGAAATAGTGGATTTACCCATTAAAAATGGATGATTATGGCAGATTGTGGCAGATTGTGATAATGATTCACAATTTCACCGGCCTCCCGGTTTTTCCTATTTTAGGACTCCCTTACCGTTACCAGAACTGAGTTGGTGAACATACCTTAATTTTTACTGTTGGGTTTACGGCAATGGCAACTATAGCTGTAGCATTCATGGGGTGAATCTAAACTTTACCGTAAACATCTTTAAACCAACCTACGAATGGATCAGGTATGGCTTGTCGAAAGTTCGCAACATTGTCGTGATGGCCGTGGCCATGCATCAGGTCATTACAGGTTCCGCGCGGTGAAATGTTGGGACTCTGGAAATGGCTTTGATACCACCAATACTGATAGGAAATATATAGGAAATATATAGGAATCATCAATAATCATAAGATACCACCAAGTTATCAAGAACACAGAATAATCATAGGACATTTGGGAACAAGATGGAACAGCCTGGAACAGCCGGAGGCGATCTGAGCATCGGCAGCTATACGGCCTTTCAGCAATATGTCACTCTCTACGAGGACACGAAGGGTGGGAGTGGTTGCAGGGGTTGAGCCCAACAAAACTTGGGCTGGGATCAATTCTACCATATAGAGACCACAAGGATTGGAGCTTTACTTCATGTTGATTCGTTTTAACACCTGTGATTCATTATATTCCCATATATTCCCATTATATTCCCATTATATTCCCATTGTATTGCCATTATATTGCGATTTGTTCATCGCTCTTGTTTTCTTGACTTTATATTGACCTTGCCAAAAGCATGCCGCCTCGGCTCAACGAATCGACAGCCTGGAGTTGCCAACGTTCGAAAGACGATCTGGTCGTTCGAATCACGTGACCACGGTAGTCACGGTGCGAATCAAAATCCAAAGTTGGTGATGTAGTCCCTGGATATTCATAATTAATATTAATTAATTACCATACCAGAAAACATACCAGGGTCCCACTGTTTCATTTCTTTCATTGTGCTGGTGAAGATTCTTCGTAGCAACTAGGCTAAAAAACTGGACCCGGCCCATAGCTGCCATAGCGGCTTTGCATGGGAGGATTAATCCACATAACATGTATCATTTTTTGGGGTATGGCTTGGAAACACCAACTGCATGCATGTTGGTATGCTGCTCATCAACCCACATGAAATCGGATAGTTTGGGATGAAAATCATACGAAACATCATTCAACATATGTATACATGTAAATAATATATATATACAATTATATATACAATACAGCATATATAATTGATAATATACTACATGTTATAGTACATTTATAGACAGACATTCTTGCCATTTATGGCAACCTGGTTGATTCTCAAACTTGCATATGTGGAATTCGCTCTGCTCTCGGCACCCGAGCGAAACCGCGCAACTTGTGCACCAGGATGGTTTTAAGAATCTGGCAGATATTTGGATCAACTTCAAGCAGACGACGCTCGTCGTTTCGTGAAGATCTTGCTCTTAAAGGACACATTGAAAGTTATAATCCCGAAAAAGATGCCGAACAGTGGTTCTGGGATGGTCAAGGGAAGTTTAGTTAGAAAACTTCCGAGTTACGGACGATTGTCATGGGCAGCATTCTCACCGTCAACCACATCATCATCAAGTAGTTGGGAAGTGTAACAGGTCGGGAACGCGTGAATTCAGGCTTGAAAACACTCTCGGGCGCGAAACCCTGTGTTTTTTTCGGGTAAAGTGGCTTCCGCGGTCGCCGAAGTAGGGTCGCTGTTTCCGCGGTTGCGGGCCTCGATCTGCAAAAGTTGCCGACAAAAAGTGCACAAGACTGTAGCGAGTGCTCGATTTCCACTTGCCCTATAGGTCAGTCAAGGCTATTTGGAGCAAAATAGTTAGCTCTTATTTTTTAACCTTGGTGAAGGTAATTTGTTTGTTGTTAAACTAACTATTCAGGCAAAAAATAACTTTGAAGTTAATTTTTGAGGGTTATTCTATGTTATTCTTAAGGGTAATTTTCAATGGTGTTTTTTCACATCATTTATACATGTATTTAGGTTTGTGTTTCTCTTTATTTTCTGATATGTGTCTGATGTTCTCTTGGGGTTACTATAGATGTGCTGCTGGCAAATGCATGGGTTCACTTCACTTATTTTGACAAGATAACATGTTTTTCTCTGACACTTGGATTGGATCAAACGATCTGATGGTAGGTAGTGTATGGGTCACTGACCAAATTTATGAAACAAGAGCATGTCAGCAATGAGGAAGATTCGGAAGTAATGAAGCAGTTGGCAATGGAAACATTGTCCAAGCATGCATACTGTCTTTGAAGCTCAGTGAGGACATCCTTCAAAGTATCATTGATTTGTTGCTCTTTCTTGTCAAGGATTTTGGCAGCCGGTCTTCGGCAATCTCTGCCCAGTCGCTCCTGAGCCCCTTTGGCTTCTTTGATGTCATGCTCCACACTTGCCCAGCTCAGTTTCACAGGGGCATCACAAATCGCTTTTGAAAATGCTGAGGATGGAGTAGCCACAGCTGGTGTAGAGGAAGCACTACTACCACTACCACTACCACTAGCTCCAGTGCCAAATTGGCTCCAGGACCTACTCGGCATGGATTGATTCATCTGCGAATACTTGTCCTTGGTGAGGTTGGCCTGGCCACCATGCAAGGCCATGGAAATGTCCTGCTTCTTCTCAGTGGCTGTGGCTACTGTCTTGACATGAAAGTAACCATCTTTCTGATAGACATGCCTTCGTCTTTCTGCATCATTCAATGCCGCTAGTTTCCCTGGATTTTTTTCCACAACATGATGGGGTAAGGTATCCCAGTAACCTGAGATTTGTTGGTGCGAATCTCAGAGTTCTTCTTGAAAACCTGGAACTGGGCATTTCCAGGAGCGAGCACATACTCGCCTTTGCTGTTCTGCTGAAAGACTTTGTTGATGAGTTGGCTCTTGAAAAACCTTGGGTGAAAAGAATGCTTGGGGCCCCCTTCATAGAGATGCTGATCATTCTGGCCCATGTCCTCGCCTTGGGGCCTTGGGGTAGTTTCGATGCTCATCATCAGCAGCTGTTGCATCATCCTCTTTAGGCTCCTCCTCTTCTCCTTCTACATGGTCATCAGAAACTGGCTCATCTGGTCTTCTTCTTTCATCCTTCTGCCATCTCCTTGACAGTCTTCGCTTTGGCCTTGGCTTTTGCCTTCGGCTCAGGATCAGGTAGAGCTGCAGCAGGTCTTTTGAAGATTTTCTTCATTGTGCTCTCGGCTTAAGCCCTTGGAGCTTTCAGTGGCAAAGACGTAACCCCAGGAACTTTGCTGGCAGCAGCCTTGGCTTTACCTGCTGCCTTCGCCTTGACTTTAGATTTTGCTTTCACCTTGGCTTTAGCCTTTGCCTTTGAGCTTTGGTGCTGCAGTATCTAAGGATCTAAGTCAGCTCCTGGAGCAGCTTCTTCTGCAGAAGCCTGTTCTACAGACTCTGGTGCTGGGCCAGGTGGAGGCAAAGCAAGCATAGCATAAGGTGGACAAGCAGGCCTCTTCATGAGGTTACCAACAGGGGCCACAAGTAACCTGAATCTTGCGCACCAGTGTGCTACATAGATGGTATATGCAACTGTACACTTGACATAAATTCCAACCTTTCACCAAAAAGTAACCCCATGAAGAACATGCTTTACCCATAATGATGTCATAGCAGCTTCCAGCAGAAGTACCAAAGACCTTGTGAATGTATCAATCAACCAATGTGATGTTTGTAATTCACGATAGGTGTTGCGTGGGTTCTGCATTGTCATTGTTTGAAAAATGAAACATAAAAAATAGATAAAAATAGAAGTGGAGATGTCTCAAAACGTCTGAAAATTGGTTCCCGAAACGGAAGCCCAATATGTTCAAAAACTGGTTCCGAATAGGTACCTTGTAAAATCAAAGGTGCTTTAAGCCCTCTTAAGGTACCTTTCATTTTTTAAAAAATAATCCTTAAAGATGTGCAAAGTGTAAAAAAATACTTTAAATATATGTTGCAACTTTAATAACTAAATTAAATCAGTTACTCTATATATATATATATAGCATTTCAAACTTTAAAAATCAGTGATGGTATATAAAGCATTTTTTTTACAGTTTTAGCATTGTACAATATTGTACATGTGTTTTTTGTTTGGTTATTTATGTATGCTCACCTAATGTAGTTGCTCTTGTCCAAGTTTTTTAAATGAAACTTTAAAACATAATGTACCCAAGTACTAATGTGGATATATATGTGTATTCATTTGGTAGGGGGTCATTATCTGGCTTGAGGTTACTGCTTTGAAAACCAAAACCACTGCATGACAACCAACCCATGTTTGGGGTTACTATTTCGGAACCGCAAAACATTCAATGAAACACACGCCATGGTTGGTATTACATGTTTAAATATACGTTAACAATAGCCAACCCATGTTTGTAGTTGATTGTTTTAAAGCAAACATGTTTATATGATATATACATATTTTGGGGTTACTTGGTTCTCATGAAAAAAATCGCAAACAAAACCAACCAATATTTGATCTTACTTTTTTGAATATAAAATAAACATATAGCCGAAGGAAGTTTAGAAGTCAAACTTCCGACAATATGGACAGATGAAAAGCAGAGATGGGAAGAGTCAGAGAAGAGAAGAGAAGAAGAAGGATATCAAAAAAGAGAAAGTCTCAGAAGAAAGAAGATCCAGGTGCGCGAAAAGGTAGGAAAGTCGCGAAACATTCTGTTTTTCCAATGATTTGCGGCTCCGCGGGGTCGAAAAGTAGGCTCGCTAAAGCGGCGGGTGCGGAGCCATGTGGTCAGATGAGAGATGAAAAGTTGCACGCCGTTGTGGCACGAAGCACATTTGCAAGTGAAGAAGCTAAAAGCACGGCACGTTCGGAGCACTTTTAGAAGTTGCGATGTCGAAAAAGTGCACGCCGTTGTGGCGCCAAGCACATTTCGAAGTCAAAATGTACAAAACACACATCCTCGGAGCACTTTTGGAAGTTGAGATTTGCAAACGCCGTTGTGGCGTAAAGCACATGTCGAAGTCAAAATGTACAAAAGCACCACATGTCAAAGTCGTTTTGCGTGACAGGCGCAAGGGATTGTGCACCTGTTCAAAAGTGAGCAAAACGTGAAGGTTTTGTAGCAGTTTCAAAAACGATGACAGGCGTGGGACATTTGAAGAGGATCTGGAAAGATGCATTTCGCGTGGCAGGCACAGTACAAGAGACATGTTCATCATTAGGAGGTCAGGGCGCTGATTTCCTGAGAGGGGTTGCATCCTTGGAGCATCAGATCTTCAGGTTTGCTAAGATGATTTTGCAAGACAGGTGCAGCACTTCGTATGACCTGGCATCACTTTTTCGTGGCAGGCGCAGCACTTTACACAGATGGAGTGGAAAAATCGCAAAACGCATTGGTACGAGGCCGTCAGCTCTCCACTCAACGTTCCATTTTTGAAGGAGGCCTCGCAGATTTGCTTCGTTTTGATGTTGTCAACTTCGAAAATTGAGGAAGTCTCGCAAAATTGTTTCGTTTTTGACGTTGTCAAGTTCAAAAATTGAGGAAGTCTCTCAGAACTGCTTCCTTTTTGACGTTGTCAAGTTGAAACATTAAGGAAATCTCGTGCAATAGCTTAGTCTTCAAGCTTGCAGATAGACAGATAGATAGATAGACAACTACAACTACAACTGCAACTGCACTACTACTACAGCTACAAATGCAAATGCATGTGCAAATATACTACGCTACATTACACTATATACAGTGATTAAATTACACTACACTATGCTAATTACAGTACACTACTGCATTAATTGCATTACAACTACAACAACTACTACAAATACAGCTACACCTTCAACTACAACTACAATACATTACGCTACACTACGTTACACTACACTACACTAATTACACTACACTACAGCACACTACAACTACAACTACAACTACGCTACGTTACACAACACTACAACTACAACTGCAACTACACCACACTACAAAGACACTAATTACACTACACTACAACTACTGCTACAACTACACTACTTTACACTACACTACGCTAGGCTACACTACACTATTAGACTATACTACACTACAGTACACAACACACAGTACACTACACTACACTACATTACGCTACACGAATTACACCACACTACAACTACAACTACTACAAATACAGTTACAACTTCAACTACAACTACACTACATTACACTACACTACACTAGTTTCAGTACACTACAGCACACGACAGTACACTACAGTACGCTACAACTACACTACAACTAGACGACCACTACACTACAACTACAACTACAACTACAACTACACCACAGTACACTACACTACAGTACACTAGACTACACTACAACTACAACGGCAGCTACAACTACAACTACACCACTTTATTTACACTACACTACACTAGGCTACACCACATTATACTACACTACAGCACACAACACTACAGTATACTACACTACACTGCACCACACTACACTAATTACACCACACCACAACTACAACTGCAACTACAACTACACACACTAAATGCACTACACTACAACCACAAATCCACTACTCTACACTACATCAAGCAGTTGTGTGTGAGGTCACCACTGCAACTATTGCAGCCACTTCAAAAAACACAACTCCAACCACCTTTCGGTTCATCAGTGGATTCGCTCTGCCACTTGTGATTCACAACAACCAACCTCTCCTATAGGTTTCCCTTTTTTGAAACTTCCGCCGCCTCCTTGTGCGGTACTACTGGTAAGGAGCATATCCTGGTGTAAACTTGGTGGAAAACCAAGGTACAAACATTATGAGCATATTTTAGTTTAAAGGCTGCACCAACAACCATAAGGCTCCTTTTGTTCACAGAGTTTCACACAACCTTGGCTGTGCAAAGTAAGTGTGAACAAAGTAAGTATTTCAATAGGACAAGAGCAACTACATTAGGTGAGCATACATAAATGACAAAACAAAATATCTTTGGAGTATTATTTTACACTTTGCACATCTTTAAGGATTATTTTCAAAAAATGAAAGGTACCTTAAGAGGGCTTAAGGCACCTTTGATTTTACAAGGTACCTATTTGGAACCAGTTTCTGAACATTTTGGGCTTCCATTTCGGGAGCCAATTTTTAGACGTTTGGAGACATCTCCACTTCTATTTTTTATGTTTCATTTTTCAAACAATGACAATGCAAAACCCACGCAACACCTATCGTGAATTATAAACCTCACATTGGTTGATTGGTACATTCACAAGGTCTTTGGTATTTCTGTCGGAAGCTGTTATGACATCATTATTGGTAAAACATGTTCTTCATGGGGTTTCTTTTTGGTGAAAGGTTGGAATTAATGCCAAGTGTACAGTTGCATATACCATCTATGTAGCACACTGGTGCGCAAGATTCAGGTTACTTGTGGCCCCTGTCGGTAACCTCATGAAGAGGCCTGCTTGTCCACCTGATGCTATGCTTGCTTTGCCTCCACCTGACCCAGCACCAGAGTCTGTAGAACAGGCTTCTGCAGAAGAAGCTGCTCCAGGAGCTGACTTAGATCCTTAGATACTGCAGCACCAAAGTTCAAAGGCAAAGGCTAAAGCCAAGGTGAAAGCAAAATCTAAAGTCAAGGCGGAGGCAGCAGGTAAAGCCAAGGCTGCTGCCACCAAAGTTCCTGGGGTTACGTCTTTGCCACTGAAAGCTCCAAGGGCTTAAGCCGAGAGCACAATGAAGAAAATCTTCAAAAGACCTGCTGCAGCTCTACCTGATCCTGAGCCGAAGGCGAAAGCCAAGGCCAAAGCGAAGACTGTCAAGGAGATGGCAGAAGGATGAAAGAAGAAGACCAGATGAGCCAGTTTCTGATGACCATGTAGAAGGAGAAGAGGAGGAGCCTAAAGAGGATGATGCAACAGCTGCTGATGATGAGCATCGAAACTACCCCAAGGCCCCAAGGCGAGGACATGGGCCAGAATGATCAGCATCTCTATGAAGAGGCCCCCAAGCATTCTTTTCACCCAAGGTTATTCAAGAGCCAACTCATCAACAAAGTCTTTCAGCAGAACAGCAAAGGCGAGTATGTGCTCGCTCCTGGAAATGCACAGTTCCAGGTTTTCAAGAAGAACTCTGAGATTCGCACCAACAAATCTCAGGTTACTGCATTACCTTATTCCATCAATGTTGTGGAAATAATTCCAGGGAAACTAGCAAGCATTGAATGATGCAGAAAGACGAGGTGATGCCCACAGCAATTGAGAAGAAGCAGGGCATTTCCATGGCCTTGCATGGTGGCCAAGCCAACCTCACCAAGGATGAGTATTCGCAGATGAGCCAATTCATGTCGAGCAGGCCCTGGAGCCAATTTGGCACTGGAGCTAGTGGTAGTGGAAGTAGCGGTAGTGGTAGTAGTGCTTGCTCTACACCAGCTGTGGTTACTTCATCCTCAGCATTTTCACAGGCGATTTGTGATGCCCCTGTGAAACTGAGCTGGGCAAGTGTGGAGCTTGACATCAAAGAAGCCAAAGGGGCCCAGGAGCGATTGGGCAGAGATTGTCAAAGACTGGCTGCCAAAATCTTTGACAAGAAAGAGCAAAATATCAATGATACTTGAAGAATGTCCTCACTGAGCTTTCAAAGACAGAATGCATGTTTTGGGCTACTTCATTGTAGCTTTGATGTTGTAGAACATATCTTCAAAACATTCAATCAGATGTGATTTTGCATTCATTGAATGCACCAACATTGTCTTTCTCCAAACACAATAAGTCCAAACAATATATTTTAATTCATTTCCAGGTATCGAGTATAGCTAAGTTTACACAAAATCAAGAAAATAATCTTGTAACAAGCCCTTGAAATATCTTTACAGTAATCATGCTAATATTGTACAACGATGAAAATTGTAGATATTCACATTCTTTTTTCCAAAGAAAAATGCAAAATTTTCAAGGTTTTTGATGTTAGTTTTTTTTTAACCCCTGAAATTGACTTTGAAAATGAACCCTAAAGTTTAATATTACCTAGAAATTTACTTTTCAAATTAACCTAATAGCTGGAAAGTTGCCTCCAAAATCAAAATTGGCTATTTTGCTCCAAATAGCCTTGACTGACCTAAAGGGTGAAAATGTTAAACAGCTGAGGCGTTCGGGGATCTTTTGGAAGCTGGGGTTGGCAAAATGCGCACAAGACTGTAGCGAGAGCTTGATTTCACATAAAAACCGTAAAAAACTGTTACGTTCTGGAGCACTTTGGAAGATGGGGTCGGCAAAATGTGCACGAAACTGTAGCAAGAACTCGATTTCATATGTCAACCACATTATCATCAAGTAGTTGTTCACATAAAAACCGGAAAACAACTGAAGGTTCCGGAGCACTTTTGGAAGATTACGTTGGCAAATTCATTGATTCGTTGATTCATTTTTTCATTCATTCCTGCCTTCATTCATTAATTAATTCATGCATTCATGCGTTCATGCATTCATGCAGTCAATCATTCACCCATTCTTTCATTTCATTTTCAATTTCATGTTCATGTGCATTTTCAGTTTCATTTTCATTTCATTTCATTTCAATCGTTCATGCTTTGCTGCTTTCATGTTTTCATGCATTCATGCATTCATGCAAACAATCACGCTCATTCCTTCGTTCCTTGGTTCATTCATTCATTCATTCATTCATTTATTCATTCATTGATTCATTCATTCATTCATTCATTCATTCGTTCATTCATTCATTCATTCATTCTTTCGTTTTTTCGTTCATTCATTCGTTCGTTCGTTCATTCATTCATTCGTTCGTTCGTTCATTCATTCGTTCGTTCGTTCATTCATTCATTTATTCGTTCGTTCGTTCGTTCATTCATTCATTCATTCATTGGTTGGTTCGTTCGTTCGTTCATTCGTTCGTTCGTTAATTCATTCATTCATTCATTCATTCATTCATTCGTTGACACCTGTGAGACAAGCCAGGAGCTGAAATCGAAATGTGATAGATAACAGATGAGAACAGTATTCACATGGCACCTTCAAAAACATATCTAAAAACAGCTGGAGGTTTCCTAAATTGGCCAAGTACCCCAAGTCATGCAAAGAAATAGACCATGACTTCGTATTGAATAAACCATGGTGACTTGGGGATTCCCCCATTAAAAAAAAAACACAATTTTTGTGGGATCACCCCGGGGCGCATTGTATTGGTGAACATCTACTTCAATTTACTTCCGAACAAATTTTACTCTATGTATACTAAACATGTATACAGCAAAGATGTAGTAGCAAGTTCTATCCCAGTTAGCACTTATCCCAGTGACTGACCACTTAATGTGTAGGTTTCCTATGTTCCTATGATTCTCCGGTAGGGTCATATCCTGCATGAAATTTGTGCCTAGGATCACCTCCACGGGAAAGTTCATCCAGTTGCTGCTGCGAAAACCCGATGGGGTGACCTTTGATGGCGGCTTGCAGCCCATGAAGTGCCAAGGGCAACTGGTTCTCCAAAACGTCCCTGGGACAGCTGCGGGGTTTTCACTCATGATTGGTGAAGAACATCCAAAATTTCTAGACTGAAGACTGATGGTTTTGTTCGGGGGTCAAAATCAGAAACCTGGGAAGTTCAAACGTGTTCGGGATTTGACCATCAATCGTGGGGATTAACTACAGAAAGTGGGGTCCTACCAATCAACATGGGTACATGCCTGTTTGGATGGCAATGGGTCAGACCCTGTGGGCCCGTCTTGGAAGGTGTTCACAGCACATCTTGATGTCTACCAACTATTTTGATGTTCGGCACGGTACTGGGTTTTGACCCATACTTTCGGGGGCTGACTGTGATTTGTGGCGGTTTTTAGGTTGAAACTTTTTTGGTCCAAGGGGAGGTGATGCTGAGTATCCGCGAATGATTTGTGGACATAGATAACCACGCATGCACAGAATTATTCTCAATGTTAATGAATCACTTATGACCACATTATATATCAATATATATCATATGATAGACATCAGCACTTATCATTATGTACATTATGTACAATATATATATAATATCATGATCAGAGACAATCATATGGACATTGACCTGACCTGGCTGATCGCTGGAGGGGATGGATCATGAAGAGGTGTGACTTCCTGCTGAAATCATGCATGCGCTGGTTGGTGGTTTCAATCGTTTCTATATATGTTTCTATGGGGTTGTCTGAAAATAGGTTACCCCAAAATTTGATGCTTGATATTGATTAATTAATCGCCATTTTCCCCCATTACCCCACTTTGAGACGTACCCAAATCTCAGATTTTTGGTTAATGATATCCAACCCAATTAAATCCCATTAAATCCAATTAAATCACCATAAATCCACATATATTGATGGTTGATTAACCATATATCATATACTGATGATTCCCAAGGGCTCATATACTTCGGCATGGAAGCCACCTCCCCCAGTTTCAGATGTTTTAAGCAACGCTGCCGACATGTGAAAATTGGTGGTTGGGAAGTAACTTTCGCTTGTGGGAAAAGTCTGCCTGAATAGATCATTTTCGATTACCTTCCATCTTTGAAGGTCACCACTAGACTTGACTTTTTTTTGGGGGGTTGCGGCCACCAACACAGAAAGATGTTCCATCTCATAGAGGGACCGTGAAATTCACACTTGCTGGGATTCGAATCAGCCCTTCCCCGGATCATACGATTTATATATATATATATGTATGCAATGTGAAACGAAAATCCAGTGGGATGTATTTTTATATATTCACGATCTGGGGGGCCTTTTCAGGCGTAAATTCATATCAATGAGATAGATGGAAATATTTGATTGATATTGAGTATTGCTCATTGTTTAAGTATGTTTAAGTATATTTAAGTCTGATCCCCGTCATTGCATTGTATTTTGATCAACATAAAACCCCTCAGAAATACACGTGTTATTTTTCATTGATGTATTTGTCAAAGGTGAGCTTCACCAATTTGCAAGCCCATGTCACCCTTGTACCGGTGGATTGTAGAGTGGGTTGAACGTCATAAGCTTGTGGATTCCTCCAAGAATGTCACAACACAATCCTGGATGGTTAAGCACCTATTCGCAAGTAAGATTGCCATGGTTTGGGTGTAAATCCCGAAAAATTCTCAGTCTCATCCTAATAGAAAGGGAGGGGGTAATATGATAAATTATGGCTAAATTCCATCACATATATATAATTATATATATATATATATGTGTGTGTGTCCCTCATTCCCTGATGGCAACAATAACGAACACATATTCGCTGCTAATCAAGTGACACCTATGTTTTTTTCCTCTGGAAATATATGATGATCCCAACTCCACTCTATCATCATAATTTCTATAGATTTCCTTTTATTTTCATATATCTCCATATTTTCCATACATGTTCATAGATTTATTTCCATATTTCATATATATTTTCCATATTTTCCATATATGTTCATAGATGTCCGTAAATGTTCCGCATCGTTCCCAAGAAAGTCGTCCGCCCTTTGACGGCCGCCGTGACGAAGCCATGAGGTCTCCTTTGCGTACTCCGGGCGGCCTGAACAGCAGGTGGGCAATGTTGGTAAATCAATGCCATAAACCACTCATGTGGCAATGGTAACCATACAGGATGGTGCCCCCCAGTTATAAGTGGATTTATAAAACCCATTAACTATAGTTATATCTGCCATAAACCATAGTTATGGGACTTATAAACCAACTTAGCTAACTATGGGGCACCACCTTGTACCACCTATAAAAATGGTGATGACTGGGGGATTGTAGATGATTGTTTTATCCACATTGTATGAAAATATGATGAGTAATGGAGATATACATATGAGCTTTAACATTAGCCGCATATTGTAACATGATATATTAACTTCCACCATTGAAGGTATGTGAAGGTACTGTTAATATAATATATGTTACAATATGGGGCTGATGCCAAAAATATGATACTCTTGGTGGTACGATCAATGACCTCTAAGCACTTCCCAGTGTTTAGGGTTGGGGGATGACCAAAGGTATAGCTCTCAATCATTTCGACCCATCCCTCATTTTTCCAAGAAACTTTGAAATTCTGGATCTAGAGTGTTAGTAAAACAAGGGAAGACCATTGCAATAAATCTCAGTACAGAATATTCATTGAAACCACAATTGAGTGTTAGTAAAGTAGCAAATGTGAGTCACAGTATGGATTAGCCAGTCTCAAGGAGGATGCAATCGCAGTTGACTGAAACAGCCAAACATTGTGAGCTACATCCAAGATCATCCTTAAAATGCATACTCATCTCGGATGGTGAAGTCCCAGTTTCCAATGAGATTCTTCTGTGGTTGACCATTAAATAGATGATTATGATGAATCAACAAGCCATTTGGCATAATCCATCTAGGGTCATTTGGATTCCAGATAGTATTTGGTTGCCTAAGTAAACAAATAGATTCATTTATATAGATTCCACATAGATAGTATGTGATTGGTTAAATCCATGTAGATTCGTCTAGACTCTACATAGACAGTATTCGGTTGGTTAAATTCATTTCTTAGGTTGAAATGGATCACAAATCCACATAAACAGATGATTGATGTGGTAAACCCAATAGTACCCTATCTCCAATTGGGTTTATGAAATTGGGTAAGCCCCACATGGGTAGTCTTATGGCATTGGGTTTACCACATGAATGGAATGATGAATCACTACTTTTACCGGCACTAGTTTTGTTGTTAGATGAAATATCATTCGGAATCCCATTAGTATAATATTATTGTCATGCTTAATATCATCATTCAATACCATTTATGTTCATTATCATAATTAGTCGTCATCATTAGCATCATCATCATCATCACCACCACCGTCATCATCATCATCAGCATCATCATCACCACCACCACCATCACCATCATCATTAGCATCATCACCCCATTATGATCATCATCGGCATCATCATCATCGTCGTCATCGTCATCATCAGCAACATCATCATCAGCATGTTCATGATTATCACCATTAGTCATCACTAGCCATTGTTACCATCATTATAATCAAAGTCATCATTATCATCATTGTCACCATTGTCATCATGATCATCATTATCACAGTTATCATCATTATCATCAAATACATCATACCCATAGTCATCATAGCCAGCATTATTATCAGTGTCACCATTATCAACATTTTCATCCATGAAAGCCTTCGCAAAAAACAAAACAGCAAAAATCCAGATGGCACAGTCCCACGATCTGCGCAGCTTTCGCACGGATCAGGTCTTGACCGCGCTGACGTTGGAGGCCAATCCAGGACGGCTCGCGATGGCATAGTTTTTGTGGCTGACAATCATCTTCGTAATGATCTGGTTGGTGGTTTCAATCATTTTTTATTTTCCATAATATATGGGATAATCCTTCCACTTCTTTGCTGGTTAGTGGTTTACAACATTTTTTATTTTCCATAATACATGGGATAATCCTTCCCACTGACTAATACTTTTCAAGATGGTTAAAACCACCAACCAGTGATGATATGTTTATTTATATCATAGATAATGAGATAAAATGGATTAAAAATTGATTATCATGGGTTAATAATGATAACGTAATGTGTCAAGAATGACTAATGCTGGGATGTGAATGTCAATGGAAGAATAATGGGATATTTATGGATATATTGTTCGGTAGTCAAATATGGCAAGCTGGGAAGTTCATAGCTGTGAAAATCATCTGTAAACAAGATAAACGGGGTTTTCCAGTGTGGCTACCAGAGGGTATATAGATTTGATGATGGAATACCTCCAGTCATATACCCTCCACATTTTCCAGTTGGTAAGATTTGTCATGTCCTTTTTCTATGGTTTTTTCCACGTATCAACGACGGGATGCACATCCCAGCGGGAGCTGCGATTTTCTCAGCTCTGGATGCCGTCTTGACAACAATATATCGCCTGGAAGCGGCGCGCTGACTTTCTGATTTGATGAAACCCTCAGGTAAACGTTTACATAGCTATGGAAAGATCCACCATTTTTAATCGGTAAATCAACTATAAATGGTGATTTTCAATAGCTATGTTAGTTTACCAGAGGGTAAAAGATGACACCATCAATTCAAAGTGTAAAGATTGACACTATCTACTCCGGAAGAGAGTCCAAAGAGTGTGTGTTTGGGTTTTTTTCCAAATCTCCATAAAGGATCTCAACTCACGTCCCCAGGTGGTCGGACAAGGTCTGAACCACTGTGGTTGGATTAGACAGTCGTGTTTCAACTGGGGACATGATTAACTGTAGTGCAATCACTAGATGCTGCAAGCAGAGTATCTCTTGTTCTGTTTGTTTTTTGTCTTTTATATACTTGTACGCGTTTGTACATGTGGATATATTATCGCCTATGATTGTCGTTCTTTCTTGTTTACTCCTCATCGTGTTCGTGCTTGTGCCTACGTGACTGATCTTGCGTTTTGCCGTTGCAGTCCTTGATGCTGGATTGAAGAACTGAGAGAGTGCACGGAGCTCTACAAAAAGACAGCAACAGGATTTGGTGCATTAGCGGCTTTGGTTGTTCTTTATGCTCCCGTTTCTAAATCGATTGGTTGTTGCTTCTAGCACTGTGATGCGTTTTGGCATGTTATTTGGCTTAGACAGGGTAGTTCAACTACTGCAACACGCATTTTGATGAACCGAGTCTCTTGGCTGCTTGCTGTATAAGGCCTGCCGGGAGCTGGTCGATGGCAGAGTTTTGGACCTCACGTTTGAGAAGATGTGCAAGGCCGGGGCTTCAGCCTAGCAGTTGTTAAAGGCCACAACCAATGATAGCCACGTGCTTCATCAGCCCGTTTGCCGGTGCCGTGCCAGGCTTTGCCCTGCTGGCAGAGCTGCAAGGGAGACTGCAGCTCCGCCGGCCGTTTTGTCAATATTCTGTCAAGCTTGCTCAATTTGTCCCTCGCCCAAGCGCCCTTTGTTAAAGGCGTTTTGCTTCCAGCGTCAGCGCTTTGATTGTTTCTGGACCTTGTCGCACCAATTCGTTTTTTTTGGTCATATGCCCGGCCACAGTGTCTTGCAGGCGCTAGGTCTTTATGTCTACGCCGATGCGATATAGCGGGATGCCTTCTATACCTTGCAGCCGTGGTCCTTAGATCGTACGCGGGGTGGCAGCCGGGTGGCACCTGTAGACATGCCTGCGTGCACACAGATTCCCCAGCATGTGGAGCAGTGACAGCCAGAGAGCAAGATCAAAGCCATTGAAGGGATGCTGCATCCTCCTACTCTATGGCTGGGCCGCTTGGATATGGGCACCTCAGCAAGCCACCGGGGTTTGCGCTGACATGGGCTGAGAAGCTTTGTGCGCGGCGGTGCCGGGCATCCACTTCCACCAGGACCGGTTGAACAAACGCACCTGGTCATATATTTCCCTGGCCGCCGTGTGGGCAACTGTGCCCTGCGCAGGAAAAACTCGTCAAAGTGACTCCCGATGATGCGCTGGAAGGGACATGCTGGCAAGAGCAGCCTCTTCTGTGCGCTTGTTGTGATCTCCACGGTAGTAATTATTTCTTGGGTGCCTCGAATATATGTTTAGATCCCTTCTCCTTCCGCAAGCTTTTGATCCGATACAGAATGGGAAGATGTAATGAGAAGAAGATGGGGCCTATCTTTGAGCGCGCATCTCATGTCGACAGCGTGCTTCTAATCACTAACGAAGCAGACCCTCCATGCTCCAAGAACCCCGAGATGAAGTGCGGAGAACACGTCATCCTAAATCCTCGCAAACTGGTGCCTTGAACATATTGACTGTGGTTTGTGAGATTTATCAACTAGCTAGCAGTTTCAACTTGGAGATGCCCTCCCGTAAACGTTTACAGCTCGATGTGGGGTCTATCCAGCATGAATGTAAATCATCTTCCTGGGGTTCCCTTGGTTTTTCCAATCTATGTTTCCCCAATGATGTAGGGTAAACCAGATTTTAATCTAATTAAATCCCATAAAAAAAAAAACCATTGGCATCAAACCCGCGCTTCTGCACCCAGTCGGATGTTTTGTCATACACTGCAGGAGACGTCGTTGCCCTGGTGGGAGAAAGTGGCGCCGGAAAAAGCATCCCGGTCATAAAAAAAACATGGCAGAAGGAATGTAGAAAGCCACAGGATTTGAAGAGTAAATTGGGATTTATTGGAATAATAGCGAGCAAACTAGGATTTAATTGGGGCTAATAGATTGTAAGTTTATAGCTTTGAAAACATGTAGGTGATTTGCTTTTCTCAAACATGATTTTCCAGCTCGCAAACCAACCTGGGGATTTCAGCAACAATGGCTTGCCATCGATCTTCGAAAAAAAATACAGTTGTTTTTTGCCTTCAGGCATGGAGCTACGCCTGATACATAATGTGTATATATATATATATAACAATATAACATATGTATTTATATACACATTTATTGAACTATATTCTACATATACATATACATATATATATATATAATTATATATACACATTTATGTATACATATTCTTAAACCTACATATATATATATATGTACATATATTTATATATTTATATATTTATCTATGCATATACTTATATATATCTAGATGTATTTGCACACGATATATCTATATATATATATATATCTATATCTATATCTATATCTATATATATACATATATATATAGTTATATATATACTTACATTACCAACAAGGTGATGGTACATGAGTATATGAGTCAACAAGTATATTTCAAATATGTTCAACCAACAAGCACCGGTTAATCAACAGGCAGCAAGAGCTGGGTATTCGGATTTCCCAGCTGGCCACGTCTGATGACACCGGAGGGTATAGTCACCAGTTTTGTTCTTAGTGGAAATAGATCAATGAAGAGAACAAGGCGATGTTTTCTTGGCCATTGCGGATCAGCCAACATCAAGGGGAAATAACATATTACTCATATTTTGGGAGACAACATGCAAATTGAATACGCACCAGCTGAGATCATATCGCCCAAGATGGGGATACCAAGCAGTAAAGGACAACCAATTATCGAGCAGTTGGCTGTTAGCACCAAAATCAAGCAGGATACAATTGCCACTATCCAACAAACGTAAGGACTTTCTAGCAAAATCAAAATTCATTGCAAACGATGGAAATGCGCACAAACAATGGAAATGCGCACAAACCCAGCAGAGATTCACCAAACGATGTATTACAGGAAAATCGGCCAAAAACAAAAAGGGGCATGTAGTATTCAAGTCTTGGTTTTTCTGCGAACAAAGACAGGTACGTCATCAGCCATTCATATGCAAAAACATGATGGTTGTTGCATTGCTTGGGGAACATGCAAGACTGAGGGGTCAGCAGTCAATACAAATCGAATGAATTTATATCGGTGCCACCAACCCGACATGAGGACCCACAAACATTGGGCATATGGAGTGCATTGGAATACCATTGGATTCTTACCAACGGAATCGGAGATTTACTACCGGTCAGCCAGCCACGACAGTTTGGGAAATGCTGGGATTGGCGCGTTGGACACTGGTAACAAATTTGCATAACACCTATCAACTGATGTATATACATGATACTCAAGATACAATATGCATCAATATGTTAAACATGTTGTTACGTACATGGTTGATGTATATGATTCATATTTCATGTCCAGTGAATTTTTGCACCGTTATGTAATTAATGTATATGATTCGACTTGATAGACACATCCCACCAACGATACCTCTTATGACCTGTTTGGTGTTGGTTCCATTTTTAGAGGTGACGCTGTCGACGAGGGGTTTGGTTCATGAACCCAGCAGGTTAGCGTTTTAAACGAAACTGTTGGGGGTACAAAAACCAATGTCAATGCCAATGACGTAAAATCAACTCGTTTTAGTTTTAGGGGAATCCTATGTTTCATCCCCCAAATGAGACGTAAAACTAGGATAAATTTAGTATGGTTGTACAAAAAATGTGTTACCACAATTTACCACCTTACAACTGTTGAGGGAACCATGTTTATTATTATTACCCTCTGGTAATTGAACATAGCTATGGAAAATTGATGCAAATTGCTATTGATAGTTGATTTCCCTATCAAAAATGGTGATTTTCTATAGCTATGTTAAATTACCAGAGGGTATGGGCGGCCCGTAGCGTGGATCCAAAAGGATGACTGGCGTCTGGTGTCCGGGAGTGCCACCATAGTTATACAATGCTATGAAAGAAACTAACATCCATAAAATTCCATAAAACGTGTACTCATAAATATGGAGTATTTACAGTAACATACAGTATAGTCATAAATTGTTTTTTCCTTTTTAAATGGCATCGAGGTACACTTGGTCGTTTGCTGCTTCGCCACTATGACCCGACCTGCGGCGCCATCCTCTTTGATGGAATTGACTACAGGCAGCTGAATTTGAGTCCCTGGGATCGGCAGATTTTAGACATGTTCTAGTTCGGAATCATCTCTGGATCATGTTGGGCCATTGTCGACCATCATGTGACTTTTTTTTCACCACCCATTCATTGGAATGTATTGTACCAGAGATTACCAGAGTATTTGGTTGGTGGTTTGGAACATGGCTTTTATTTTTCCATATATTGGGGATGTCATCATCCCAACTGACGCACTCCATCATTTTTCAGAGGGGTGGCTCAACCACCAGGTATCATTGGAATGTCATGCGAACGAAATTCACATTGACCATGCGATCAACAATAACCAGATGACCCCATCACTATCCCCAGGTACCCTCTCATTTAGCATAGGAAACAGGGAAACTTTCCTGGAAAATAAACCACGTAGAGATTTTTCGACTGCCGGGTTTAATCAAGGTGATGTTCCATAGCTATCTTAGTTTTATGACCATTTGTAGATGACTTTCCAGACCAGAGGTTACTCACCAAACCATCTATAGATCATGTTTGATTCTCTATGATTCTCTCAAAACCAGTGAAGCTTCTCTCCAGGAATCAAACATGCTGGGCCGGGGGAAATCCCCCCACAAAAATATGGAGGTTTGATTCGTTGGGAAAATCATCGAAGTAAAGTGCGGGAATGTCCAGCAAGCTATATATGACGATCGCAGGGTAGATACAATTAGTCATCATATCAGCCAGGATTTCCAGAATGGTTGAAATGAACATTTACAGGAATAACATGGAACAACCGCTAAAAAGGGAAAACAGACAAATCCAGGGTTTCAAATCAACGGTGTGTTTTTTCCAGCAAAACCAATCCTTTAAAGAAATGTTATCATACAGTTTTCTTCTTATTCCAATCATTCATTGATATTTGCATCGATTATACGTACCTCTATGAATCCAATCCACGGAGCATGCACCAACCATCCATCGTTCCAGGCACCATCGAAGAAAACATCCATGCATTGATCCACTCCTCCATCCACCCATTCACTAAAACCTATCGAATCCCATCTTCCACAAACCATCCACCAACCATCCACCATTAACATCTCACTAATATCCACTATCACTATCCACCCTAGCAAAACTTACTACAAATTCATATGTTTGTTATGAAAAATCATCTGAATTCACCATGTTTCACTTTCAAGATCCAAGAGATGTTCCGGCATCCCGGATAGCCACATGTCCTTGGAGGCCCCAAGCCAAGTCCAAGGCTTGATGAGTAGCCATGATCCCTACAGTCATTTACAAGTTATATTGAAAATCAACGATTAATTAAATGTTAATCCACCCAACTATAATAGCAATTGTAATAAAAAAAATCAATTTATCATGTTAAATCCACCCAACTATCTCCATCTCCATCCCAATTACCTATAATTAACTATAGTATTCCTATGTGTCTATGTGTTCATGCATCAAACAATCAACTCTCTCCATCTATCCTAGCCATTCCAACCATCTCCAACTGGAGGTTTCCTGAAATAGGGGCACCCCCAGTTCTCATCCATTAAAAAATAGGATTTTCCATTATAAACTAACCAGCTATTGGGGTATCCCCATGGCTATTGAACCCTCCAACTGAGGATGGCTCCGCGCGCACATTGGTTTTGTGGAGCAGGAGCCGGTTCTCTTCGATCGCCCCATGCGTCGCAATATCGCCTACGGCAGCGCCGCCAACGAGCTGCTGCCGGAGGTACAGCAGGCAGCGCGACGGGCCAATGCGCATGGATTCATTGCGCAACTGCCGAAAGGTGAGGATGGGGAGGGGGGAATGCTTAGGATGAGTTGTATAGTGTGTAATGATGTTTAAATCATATTAATTATTGATTGATAGTTATTGATTGGAGTGACCCCCCCACTAACAGCGGAATAATGGATTTTAATTGTAACTTCCCAGCCAAAATTGCACAACAACCCAGGGACCAAAACCACAAACAATTTGAGAGGCCCAATCTTCTCAATCCAAATTTTTCTGATGTTGAACCGAAGTATGAAATCACTCTGGGGGCAGCCTACTTGGAACCAGATCAAATCTACACTGGATCCCCTGGTAAACCCTCCTGATGTGTTTGGATCCATTGGGTTGACTGCTGGTATCCCTGATCAGCCTGACTGGTCTCATTGGGAAACTCCTTGATCTATGGCCTCTTCAATTTCCAATTTGGGTGGGTTCTATCATTGCACTATTGCACTTAATTTGGGTCAGCCAGGTGCTTCAGGGGCTCGGATTTGTTAAAAAACAACACTCTTTGGTTTGATAGTTCATTCGGAGATTTTGCGTGTTGATGGTGAATCTTAATCTTGCAACTTAGAGCAAGTGTTTTGGAAGAAAACAGTCTGCACATCTTGGGATAAACATCCCTGCAGAGATCTGCAGCAGCGACAGTCTCAGTCTCGAAGGCAAATTTTAAGTTCACACTGACACAGATCTGAGATCTTGCCGATTGCTGTGAGGGACATCCCTGCAGAGATCTGCAGCAGTTGCAGTCTCCAATGCAAAGCGTATGCTGTGAAGCTTGCAGAGATTTTGTTGGATAAAATCCCTTTTGGGCAAAGGGAAAGGCAGCAGTGCAGGGACGAGTTTGCGAAGGGACACATTTTGCTAAAGGACAAATCTTGCTCAGTGACAAGTTTTGCTAAGCGGCAAATTTTGCTAAGGGACAAGTTTTGCTAAGGGACAAAGTTTGCTAAAGGGAGAATTTTGCTAAGGGACAAATTTTTCGGTGACAAGTTTTGCTAAGGAACAGATTTTGCTAAGGGACAAGTTTGCTAAGGGACAAATTTCGCTAAAGGGAAAATTTTGCTAAGGGAAAAAAATTGCAGTGACAAGTTTTGCTAAGGGACAAATTTTGCTAAGGGACAAGTTTTGCTAAGGGACAAGTTTTGCTAAGGAACAAATTTTGCTCAGGGACAAGTTTTGCTAAGGGACAAATTTCGCCAAGGGACAAGTTTTGCTAAGGGGCAAGTTTTGCCAAGGGACAAATTTTGCTAAGGAACAAATTTTTCTCAGGAGCAAGTTTTGCTAAGGGACAAAGTTTGCTAAGGGACAAATTTTGCTAAGGGAAAACCCTTGCTTGATGTTGTGCTTTTTTTTGTGCTCTCGGCCGTGCTTTTGGAAAAGGTAGAAAATATCAAAAGCACAACTTCCCATGCAAAAAGAGCACAAAAAGTGCACAACTACCCTGATGATTTGATCACAAAAATTAGCACAACAAACAGCACAAATAACCACAAGAAAAAGCACAAAAAAAACCACAACGTTTAGGCTTAAAAAGCACAACTTCCCAGCCCAAAAGTTTACAACCGCAGCCCCCCCCAAATCCCCAGGTTGTCCTGAACCTGCAGTCGACTAGGGCCTGCCAGCCCAGCCTGAGCCTGGATCCTGTGCCACCCGTTAGTGTGGCCAGCTCTGGCACCCGTTAGTGTGGCCATCTCTGGCACCTGTTAGTGTGAAGCCCCAGGTTAGCTTGAACACCAGGCAGCCAAGTCAATGACATGATTCATGTGATTCATATGATTCGATATGAAAAACCTTCGGCCAATGATACTTTTAAACTGAGAAGCAAAGCTTTTCAAAGTAAAGACTAGGGTGTGTCAGAGTATCAGGACACATGATTCTGTCGCATGCGTCATATGTATTGAGATACGATTGTTTTTTCTGTGATAAGTCATATTAGTTTCAGCTCTGTTCTGCATCATGAAGAAATTGATTTCAGCCTGTAGCACAATAAATCTATTTGGACAAATTATGAAAAATGAGAGGCTGAAAGGATCTGAAAGGTAAGAAAAGTGACAACAGCCAAAGCCGATGTACAATCTATTCGAAGCATATGATGTGATGTGTTTTTGGAATTATTTCTGGTTAATGGTTCATGTTATCTTTAGTTAACTGTTAAAACTGAAAACTATGTCATGGCCATGGCAGTCATGGTGCAGACTGCCGGTTCGACTTTCATAAGGTGATTGATATTAGTGATTCAAGTGATGATAAAACTAAAATGATTTAATTTAATTGCACGAGAGTCACAAGATTATCTAAACTAACAAAATAACGGCCTATGCTGCCTATGCTGACCAGTTAATATATTATATCGAATCATATCATTTGACATCACACCAAATCATATCATACGAATTGTCAATATCAATACTTACGATATGACTGGGGGGTGGCATGATGGATGCGTCCGAAAACCAATTTGAGACAAATAGTGAACAGAATGGTCAACCAACAAATGTGGCCACATGACCATGTGACATGTGCATTTGGAAGATGGTGCAGGTGGCAAAGTCATTGCTCGAATGGAAAATTTTGCATCTATTACGATTGATGATTTCTTTTCGGTTTGTTGTTCTTTTGGCCTTTTCCGGTCAAAGTATATACAAACCCAACTTCTTTATGAACTATTGGGTTCATGCTGTGAAAAACCCAACTTCTTTGTGGGTTGGTAGACTGACAAAATGTGCCAGCCCAACTTCTCAATGGCATTTTGGGTCCATCGTGCTTGTTTTTTTTTTGTGGTCTGGATTGTGGTGACTGTTAGTGTAAGGGGGGACAGTCCAAGTTATTGATGTATACTGTATAATTATATGAGGTTATATGATGTAGTATATGTAGTATTATGTCTGATGAGGTGAATTTTGAAATTTCACTTGTGTAAGGCTTTGTGCTACTTCTTGGAGGTAGTATATACACACAATTTCATATCATATATATATATATACATATATTGTTTGATTATTTAAAACCATTGCATTGATGGTGTATCATCCAGCTTACTCCATGGCGGGGCAACCTGGCCATGAATTTTCGTGTTCAATGGGACTTTGGTTGGGACTTCTCGGAATTCCTGGGGTTCTGTTTAGAAGTGAGTCACAACACCCTGGTCACCAGTATGTTGCAAATCGTGATGGGTTTCATCCCCACTTCCCAACAAGTTGTGTTGAAGCCGGTTCATTACCTTATTTTCCCATGATTCAAATTGCCGAATTGAATAAATCCATTTAGGTTTGTCTGAAATAGGGTACCATCTTAAATGTCGAGTTATTTTGCCTATCAAAATAGTTTCTTCTTGGGGGTTGTACCATGCTATATCCCATTTTCAGACACACCCAACTCGTCCGAACTTGTCACTCGTGGTGCAGGCTACGACACTCACCCTGGCGAGCGCGCAGCTCGCATCTCTGGGGGCCAGAAGCAGAGGGTGGCCATTGCGCGGGCCATCATCCGAAACCCCAAGCTGCGCGGCAACGGACGTGGTATGGGATGTGTGGACTGTATGGAGGTGGGTTTTTTCCTGGTTTTTTATTTGGTGGTTTGGTGACCACCAAGAGATTGCCATTTTTTTCCCAGGAAAATGATGATTGACCCTGAGATTTTGGTGCAGTTTTGCCAGGGCCACTTTTCTATGGATGTGACATGGTGTAGCGAAGCCAGGAAATCAACTAACTAATTAGCTAACTTACTAACTAAACTCACTCACTCACTAACTAACGACCCAAATAGTTAGCTAACGAATTGAGCGTAGAGATGCAAATCCTGTTGCATCCTGTTGCATCCATGGCAGTATGCCCATATCATTTCAAACCAGCTTCACCCAACCATTAAATTCTGTCCAAAAAACATATCCTACCCTATTTAACGGCCATTTCAATAAGGACTATTCTGTAATTTTGAACATTTGGATTTTAGGTATGCCAAAAAACCCTTATAATATTCATCCCGGCATAAAACAACTGTTGAGCCAGGATGAATATTGAGCCCTGCTTCAATATACTGTATATTATTGATGTACCCTGGGAGGTATCATTTGTGATGGGGACACATATGTATATATTTAAGGCAATCGCAAACATAGCCATTTATGCTCAATATACTATCCAATTCTTGATGGTGACATCCTAAAATCTGCTGAATAAACCTCCGTTTATGGCGTTTATGGTTAAACTCAAACATTTTGAGCAGGCAATGGCCAGTAACCAATCAACACAGACTTCTGCAAGGGTCCCACTATTGTAGGTACGCATATGTATATCTAGTGTACATATATATTTACACACATTTATACGATAATAATAATAAGCATACAGAAAGGGCCTTGGTAGATACATACCTAGGTCTAGTTCACCATATATATATATACATATACATGCAAATGTATATATATATATATATATATTATGTGACCGTTGGATTTCTCAACTGTTTATATCGAACTAGTTGGATGGGTTTACACATCAATAAACCAACTTGGAAATAATTATAAATTTGGATTTATAGGATATATATATATATGCATATCTTACATGAAACAAAGTGGAGCCCTCTAGATAGCTAAGTTGACTTTAAAGTTGGTTAACTGTGGTTTACGGAGGATATAACTATATAGTATTCATGGTGTTTACAACCCCACAAACATCACGGCGCCAGCTTGTATATATATATATATAAACACAGTATTCTATAGAACAACTAGATATTTGTATTTAGAAGATATTCATATATACCATAGTGTAAATATATATGTATATAATGTTATATATATATATCTATATTGTAAATAGTATATATCTACAATAATATGGCCATGTTTTTTTTTCAGCAAGCGAGGCTGTTGGTCCTGGACGAAGCCACCTCAGCCTTGGACTCGGAGAACGAACACATCGTGCAACACGCCTTGGATGAGTTGATGGAGGGGCGCACCACCTTTGCAGCCTGGCGAAGCGATGGATTTTTTGGGGAAATCCGCATGGGGATGTTGCATGCAGCCTGGAGGCTTTAAATAAATGAGATGATGATTCTGAAATGATGGTTAGATTCTAGTTCGATCTGGGAGATGGGGAAGGAAGGAGAAGGAAGAGTCTCCAACTGGATGCTTGGAGAACTGGAGAATGGATGGGATTGAATGAGAAGATCATGGGGTTTAGACAGGAGGAATGATGTGGGCCGCAGACCAACGGATCAGAGAAATCTCATATATTCACAGCACTGATGATGAGAATGAGGAGGAGGATTATGCTGATTCTGAGGTTTGTGATGGTGATGGTGATGATGATGATGATCATCATCATCATGATGTTGATGGTGTTGCTGCTGACAATGATAGGAGGTTGTTCCAACATGAAGATTGACACCAGCTTTGATGAGTGGACCTTGCACTATGCGGAATGATCGCTTTCAGTGTAAGTACATGGGTGTGCCCAAAACTGTCCTAACATAGTGCATCCAAAATTCCAGTGGTTATATAATCATATATAATCATTATTTTCCAGGAATGTGTGATCCAATTCATCAAATCGGGTTTGTAAAAGAAAAGGTACCCCTGAAACTCTAAACCCACTGGGTCAATGATCATTTTCTACTCACAAATTGCAATGTTTGGGTGGTATCTACACCATTGTCAGACCATCTGGTGGTGTGTTGAAATGGGGGACCCCAAAATCATCCAAGTTATTTGCTGAATACGCATGACGTGCACTGTGGGTACCTGTTGACCCCCAAAAGAGGCCCCTGAACCCAAAGAACTCGTTGACGAAATCCATTACAAGGTGGTGCCCCCCAGTTATAAGTTGGTTTACAACCCCATTCAGCATAATAGTACATAATAGTATAGTTAGTAACTAACAGTTAGTTACAGCGAGGATAAATCGTAGTGAAATTAAACCATGAACTAAACCAACAAATGTCGATTCCAGAAACACATCTGATTGATTTTCTCATATCCCTATTGTATGGTTGGTTCTATATCCCATTGAATAGATTGAATCCCATGATTATTTCCAAAACCCATTATGATCCTCATTGAAACCAGATTATGATTATGACCTCCATTAAACACCCATTATGATCCCTATTAAACACCCATTCTGATCCCCATTAAATCCCCATTATGAACCCCATTAAACACCCATTCTGATCCCCATTAAATCCCCATTATGACCCCCCATTAAACACCCATTATGATCCCCATTAAATCACCATTATGATCCCCATTAAACACCCATTATGATCCCCATTAAATCCCCATTATGATCCCCATTGAATCCCCATTATGATCCCCACTAAATCCCCATTATGATTCCCATTAAACACCCATTATTATCACTTATCACCACTAAATCCCCATTATGATTCCCATTAAACACCCATTATTATCACTTATCACCATTAAATCCCCATTATGATCCCCACTAAATCCCCATTATGATTCTCATTAAACACCCATTATTATCACCATTAAATCCCCATTATTATCACCATTAAATCCCCATTATGATCCCCATTAAACACCCATTATGATCCCCATTAAATCCCCATTATGATCCCCATTAAACACCCATTATGATCCCCATTAAACACCCATTAAATCTCCCAGAGGTTTGTCTTGCAAATCCGACATCACCACGAGGTGATCGCCCATCGCCTCTCCACGGTGATCGGTGCAACCAAGATCTTAGTCTTGGACAAGGGACGGGTCATCGAAGCGGGCAGCCATGCCGAACTGGCGCCCTGGCGATTGGGGAGCGTAGCATAGCAGCGGCACAACATTTTTTCAGAACGCCCATGTTTGAAGCGGCAAAATTGGAAGACTAATGTTGAAGATCGGGGATACTGTAACACCGGAACTGCCATCTGAGTTCTGATATTTTTATCAATGATGATTGACATCAGTGAAGGACCAAAAACGCTGACTTGAATCATCCCAAACTACTTAAAGTGGTGAAGTTGCTTGGGGTCAGTCCATCCAGTTGTTGCTGGGGTGAGCCACTTCGCTGGCTCGAAAGGCCGCAAGACGGATCGGAAATGTCATCTCCAACGTTGGCATCCAAAATTTGAAGTTACAAAATTTACTAATCTGTATGGGTAGATTGAAAGGAAACACTCTCCCAGCATGTTGTAGCATTTAAGTAACCACTGCTGGTTTTCTTCAGTGCATTTACCAAACAAAAATACAATCATTCCAATAATTGTATATCTCAACATGGTATATACATACATGTATATTGTATATACCATACATCATAGATCCATACATTACCATATACAGTATCATTTCTCAAGATTGGGTATATTTACCAATACAATCAAAATCTTTTGAAACAGTGCATCATACCATATCTCGAGGTTTTCTATATCCCCACCGCCTATACTTAATCAGTTCCCAAGTGGGATTATGATTGTATATGATTCTCCTCCTGTGCACAAGATGATGACTCAGTACAATGATGGTGTCCAGAAATAAAGCATTCGATTCGAACTTCGAACCTATCAAAAATCCTATTGATTTTACATGAATCCCAGCTATTTGTTGGCTCCAAATCTGGTACTGGATGTGTTCTCAAACCGCACATTTCGCTGCTAATTTGGTGAACCCCATCATCCAAGGCCCTAGTCCCAATGGAACAGCTAGGTGTTTCTTAAGTGGGTACGTTAAACCATAACTGGTTGGTGGTGACTGGAACATGTTTGATGAATTTCCCATCATATTGGGTTCATGTCATCATCCCAACTGACGAACTCATATTTTTCAGAGGGGTGGCTCAACCACCAACCAGCCATAATTGTAGGAATTTCATATCAGTTGTATCCCAACTTATGAGCCAATGCCATGGTAAAAAAAAAAACGTACCCACAAAAATAATCCCAACTGCACCCCCAAGTACCCAACAACCATCACTGATATAATACCTCGTTGTGCAGCGTGACATCGCAAGAATGATTCCCATCGGATTGTAGTACTAGCATGTTGGTAGACTCACATTTTCTGAGTGAATACCTAAATTTGAACAAGAACCCAACATTTACCCTCTGGTAAACAGCCACATAGCTATGGAAAATGATCAAATTTTATAGCTGGGTAAATCAACATCAAAATCAAAAAATATCCAAATTTTCAACAGCTATGTAACAGTCATTTTCAACAGCCGGGTATCTTCGGAAAGCCCTGACTGGGACCCAAGAATCCCACCAGGTTGCGGACGAGACATCCAGATACGCCAGCTTTATGAAGCATCAGTTGGTCAGTCCCTTGCTCTCCTGAAATGTCCAGTTTAAGAACCGCACAAATATGTGTTTGTGTGGATGGTGTGATATGGAAACTGTTTTTGATCAGATTTTTCATGAAGATCTATGACATACTATCACTTGTATGATATACCTGTAACTTGTATTTTATGGTTAAATAAGATCTGTACTTCTAGGATCATCCAAGTAAGGTTGAGCATTCACGTCGAAGAAAGGATGCCAACAAAGGCACCAAGGTTTTTCGCTGGTGGACCTCTGGATGTTTTTACAAATTTCCCACGATCCAACTGTCCATTCGCATTGATCCATTCCCACAAAAGAACAGGTGATGTTTGCTTGTTCCACCACTCAAGTTGAGTTTGTGCAAATGATGCACCAAAATATATTTGTGGCGCTCCGAAACGGCTAAAATTGCTGCCTTGGCCATCAGCAAAGTCTGCCTTGGCCATGACCAAAATATGCGCCGAACGAAGCGCCAGCTCGTCGACTAACGGTCGAAGAAATCGACTAAAAATCAATCGCCGTTGTAAATCGGATGGTTAAAGAAGGTGCAACACTGCAGAGATGGCCACCTCTGTTACCCGCTGGTGAACTAACATAGCTATTGAAAATGGCCATTTATAGTGGATTTTCCCATTAAAAATGGTGATTTTCCATTGCTATGTTTAGTTTACCAGAGGGTATATTGGCATTCTGCAAGAAACCCCCCAAGATAATTTGAGAGTTTGCAACTCAAGCTGACTCTGGTGGTCTGCTTTCCCAAGGGGACTAAACATCGACATCTTAAAAGACCCTTTTTGTGTGCCCAAGCGCGATTTCAATGTCAAGAAAGTATGAGGTCATGATGTGGCTTTTTCACACTGCACCTCCTCGGATACCCTTTACCCTTCAGAAATCTTTGACAATCCCTATTTTCGGCTATGTGAATCCCGAGATACGCTGAGGTACGCTGAGGGTTGAAATAGATCGGTGGTGAAAAAAATTGACTCCAGCCATTCTAGAGCTGTAGAGGTATAGTTTCTCAAGTCGGAATTGGCATAATACAGCGTTTTCGATCAGTAGATGATTCCAACCCACCCTCTTGCAAACACTTTGTTGCCTTGACGCACCCCACAAACCCGTCAGTCTCTTGAAACCAATTTGATCAATAGGACCGGTATATATTGGATGTATACGACAGTGAAATACATACGGGTGACAAAATTATCCAGACCGAGATATTCTTGGAATATTGTTGACAAACACAGCATTGCATATCCCACATTGCATGGTAATCCCTACTTAAGACAAGTGTAGTATAACATGGTACTTTATAATATAGTAAAACATAGTATAACATAGTATAGCATAGTACAAGATAGTATAGCATAGTATAACATAGCATAACGTAGTATCACATAGTATCACAACATATATCATATAACATAGTACAACTCCCTAAAATCACCAACCAACCATCATCTTCAATGAAGCATGCCACATACTATATAACTTATATAACAATATAATCTTATCAGAACCTCATATCATATCCACACGATGCTGCGCAGGAGGCCTTTTCGCCCCAACGTGTTCGCATCGCCGCTTGACCGCGGAAAATTTCTACGGGTGACCGGCTCACGAAAAACCGTGACCGTGTGTAACATCTGAGCACTTAAAGAGAAACATGTTTTGTTCACAAATTACCAGAGGGTACCAATTCTTGACTCATCCAACACTGGATTTTTCGAGTTTGGTGTTTTGTTCATAGTTTTTTGAAGAGATAATGGAGAAATTGACTATCACTTTTTAGAGTATTTTGTAATTTCACTCTTGAAATGGTGATATCATAATTGATGCACTATAAAGATTGATAAAGATTGTTGATATTGCACTATAAAGATGATATCTTTTCATAATTGATAAAGATTGTTGGTTGATGATTTGATCGGGAGTTAAACTATCCGATATACGTATTGGGGATGATCATTTAATTCATGCACTGAAGATCCCAAAAAGGCTAGTCATTTTGTTCCAACAGCTCGTTGACACTGTTTACTCCACATGGGGAGCAAACCCAGAATCATACCACATAAGAAATCATTTCCCCAAGAGTAGTGGTCCATTAAGATTGATGTGGTTCATGTTTGTCATAGGTCCATGTTAAACGATGTTTAGGAGAGTTTAAGCAAAAACAAATCCAGAAGTCAATGTGAGCCAAATGGACATCTATATAAGCAACACAAAGGGGATGTGAAGCAAAACACATGGACATTTAAGTTCAAAAGTGGCCGGTGCTGCCAATTTTTATTCAGTGTTTATGGAACCTTAGATGATGATCACAATTCAAGCTGGTTGCATAAAATTGCATCCATCTACTAGAAAACATTTGTCTCAGATCATTTGGAAAAAAAAGGGTCCCAGAGTCAAACGCCGAGCCTGCACTAACGCAAATGTATATATATATGATTATATATGTATATTTGTAGAAATGCATGTATGTATACACACACAATCACGAATCTATAGTATTTGGATGTATTTGGATATATTTGGATGTATTTGGGAAGTTCTGACCGCAAAGGCGGCTTAATTGCGGTAGGGAAATTTGTGCATAGTGTTGGATAGAAAGAGAGAAATTTGTGCATAGTGTTGGATAGAAAGAGAGGGCCGGTTCCCTTTGACACCGAATCTACATGCGGCCAGGGCACTTGTGTGATAAATACCTCATGTTGCACTTGCACATACATTGATATACAGTACATACATTTATATCCACCATTAAAAATGGTTAGTATCTAACTTTTGGTCAATCCATTTTATAGACATATACATATACATATGTATGTCTGTATATATTATATATATACTGTATATATATATATATACTGTACAAATATGTATATATACTGCATATATATATATTTATTATATATATATTATATATATACATTTATACATTTATATATAACGCTATAAATATATATAACTATATACTATATATAACTATATAAAACTATATATAATTATATATAACTATATATAACTATATATAACTATATATAACTATATAAACATATATAACTATATAAAACTATATATAATTATATATAACTATATATAACTATATATAACTATATATATAACTATATATATATGTAACTATATATAACTATATACAACAATATATAACAATATATAAGTATATATAACTATATGTATGACTTTATTTTTAATTAGATACATATATATATATATATTAGTATTTGATTATATCTATAATTATGTATGTAATTCTATATATAATCCTATATATTTATTTCTATATATTTAATTCATTATATATGTAATAGTATATACAAATACTTTGTATACATAGTTATATATAGTTGTGACCCTGTACATACAACTACAGATGTGAATATTTCTGTATAGTTACAGTATATAATATATATAATTATACATGTTTCATGTATATGTTTTGTTTTAAATATATATATATACACATCATTATATTATTATATATACATGTATGTATGTATATATGTGTATATATATATATTTATATACATATATCTTTATATATGCATATATTGAAGGTTTTTTTTTTGGTGTAGCTCCAGAAATCTGATGTACTCGTTGAGGCATCTCCAGTGGTTGAAATCCGGAGCAAGGTGCATCGTCCTGTGAAGTTACGAGCGATTTCGGTGGTAAAATCCAATGGTGGTAATAAAACAATAATAAACCATTTGATTTACATATGGGTATACCCAGATTGGGTATGGTTTATAAATGGGTATAATCCAATGGGTATAATCCAATGGTGGTAATGTGGTAATAAACTATAAATGGTAATGGTAATGGTTACTAATTGATGGTTAATGATGGTAAATGATGGCAATAACTAGTGGTTAATGATTACTAATGTGGGTAAAAACAATGTTATAAACCACCCATGACTGGGAATGGTAAACATACCACCCATTTATGGTGATTTGTTGTATGATTTTGTTGATGGTTTATGGCATTGTTGTAATCACATTAAAAGAAAATCCTGGGTGTAAACTCATGGATTGATAGAAATGGTGCTAAATCCATTTCTTTTATTAAAATCCATTGATTGTCCCATTGATTTGTTGTGGATCGATTAATAGTCAGTTGATGTACGAAATGACTCTCCACATTTGGTGGTAAATTCCTCCATTGATGATGTGGTGCGTTGAAAAACTCGTGTCCTTACAGGCATTGACTCTGACCCAGTTGGTGTGGCTATGGTTTTGGCGACTGTGAACATTTTCTGCGCCAGTTGGGTGGTTGAAGTTAGTGCGCACCATGATATGTCCCCCAGACCGCAATTCAGAATGATCCCATCACTGGTTTAGATCGGCGAAAAATGAACTGCTCTTCATACCTTGTGGCAGCGAAGGTTCCTGGCGGTACCATTGGAAACACCACTGTTTCATTTATTTTTGTTCGTCAATTTTTACTTTAAATCTTGGCCAAATGATAAACCATCATAAATTCATAAACCATCCAAAAAGACCGCCATGACCAGTTTTTTTCGTTGAAGTTACGCGTTACGCAGTTCTGCGCAGGTGAGCCCCGCCGTAAAAGAGACGGTGAGGGCCATTTGAGCTGGTTGTCATCGGAGGTCTCCAGGATGATGCAAACGAGACGCCGAAGCCGTATACGGGGCATTTCGATGCATTTCTCGTATAAAAAGGGGCTCGATGATGTTATTATATATTAGCATAATTCAAAAGACACGCTAAATATATGTTTAGAATTTAGCTCAATTATATATGTTTGTCAAACATTAAAACTCGTTCGATGTTTTGAAGTATGCTTAACATAGTATACTGTGGAGGAATCTTTGTCCCAATGGCGGAGGCTAGGTTTGTTGCCAACTTTTTTCGCTCTGCTTGCCGCGACACAGATCCACCGGACTGATCTGGGGATGCTAAACTCTCTGGAGATCCAACCGACCAACATGCTTAAAGGATCTACAAATCTGAACTGGAACCCGACTGAAGCCTCCACCTTGGTTTTGGCATCAAATCTGCACTATTTAAGGAGGATCAGAATGATCAGAAGTTGTTGCCT